CACCTTAAGTTATAAGGAGAATGTGAATCTTAGATTTTTCTTTTCTGTAGTAAGCTATTTAGTTTACCCATAATGGAATTAACCAGAAAAGGAAATGTTTGCCTTTGGGAATTTAGAAACGAAAACATTTGTGTTTGGACCCAAAGTTATTACTAACAAATAAATGAATGGCCTGCTGCAAACCTAAGTTGTCCTAACCCTCTCCAAAAAAAATTGATTAAAGGCAGTTATTCGTCTTAAGCAAATTGTTAAGTCAGAGAGAGCCTTAAAAATTATCAGTATATATTTTCATCTCAATTTGCGTAAGTTTAATAATCAATCATTAGTTCAAACAAAAAGCTAATTTTAATCTTACTTTATCTGCTAACTCGTCCCATATTCCCTAATGTTTACTTTTGTAAGATTCAAAAATATGTTGCTAAACACAGACAATTTTTTAAATTCCAAAAATTATGAGTATGTAATATAGACTTCCCATTTCCTAGAAAGTCAGCAAACTAGGCTGGGTGCAGTGGCTCACTCATGTAACCTTAGCACTATGGGAGGCCAAGGAGGGTGGATTGCCTGAGCTCATAGGTTCAAGACCAGCCTCAGCAAAAGGGAGAACCCCCACATCTCTAAAAATAGTCGGGCACTGTGCTGGGCGCCTGTAGTCCCAGCTACTTGGGAAGCTGAAACAAGAGAATCACTAGAGCCCAAGAGTTTGAGGTTGCTATGAGCTATGATGCCATGACACTCTACCTAGGGTGACAAAGTGAAACTCTTTCGTCTCAAAAAAAAAAAAAGAAAGAAAGAAAGAAAGAAAATTAGCAAACTAACACAGAAATAATCTGTATTTCCCAGAAGGAATTTAATATAGAATGTTTCTTTCTTCCTTTTCTTTTCTTTTTTGGTTAAGACCTTTGCAATTCAGAATGTCTAAAAAATCAGGGAATAAGTGTTAGGCACTAGGCTGGTAGAAGAGAAAAAGACAAGTAAGACATCCCCAAGGATTTTCCACATTGGTGAGAGAGCGAGATGAATGGAGGTGACTTTAATGCACTGAGGACTAGGATGGTGTTAGAAACAAGCATGCCAAGGACAACACAGGGCACAGACAGCATCATTCTGGCCAGGACACCTGGGGATGCTACTTCAAATAGGCAGACACCATAAGGCATCATGCCTAGGGAAGGTGGGGACATGGGGCAAATTTGTCCAAATCACCTATGGCTATATGCTAGAAATACAGATCGCAGGGTCCCATCCCAGATTCCTGAATCAGATCCAGAGATGATGAAGCCTGGAAATTTGCTTGTTGTAACTAGTATTCCAACCAAATGCAAAGGGGCCCTGGGCCACATCTAGTCACAATAAAATTATAAGTCCTAATGAACAGATATGGTAAAGAAAAAGTCTGGCAGAGGCAATATGTGAAAAAAGCCACACTAGGAGAAGATCAGGGTATGTGGGAAGGGAGAGGTTATAACAGGGTATGTTCCGTGGAATCATAGGTAAGCTAGCTAGTTTTGACTCACACAAAGAAGATGAACTATGGTCTAGAGGCACAGGAGAGTGATCAAAGCTTTCTGAGCAAACCCATGCTGTTGTTTAAACAAGATTACCTTGGAGTCCAAGTAAGAGGTACTATGACAATAGAGTAAAGGAGGAAGAAAGGGGAGAATGAACCCAAGAAACATAAAAGTAGAGAAGTCAGGACTTAGGGATCTGCTGTACTAGGTAAGTAGAAGAAACTGACAATGACTTTGAGGAAAATTTTAAATAAGCCAAGTGCCTTCTTGGTGCTCAACATTATGTTCAAGCACCACAGAGCATCCAAAAATATGAAAGTTGTTAATCAGCATTATAGCTAAATACCTACTACATTGTACCAGGAACCGTTAACAATGCTGAGGATACACCCAGGAAAAAACCCCTGTCCTCCAGGAGCTTACCACTAGATCTCATCCAGTTCCTCTTTCCTCATGTCTTTACTTTTTATTATGTAAAAAAGTATTTCTGGAACTTCTCTTTGCCCCTGAGGACTTCTCTGCTCCTAAAGTCTAGCCAGCTTAAGGAAAACACATCCATGCCTTCATCCCAGGGAGTTTTACCTATTGGGTTTTAATGACAAGGAAAGACATAGGCACGCTTTCTCAGCTATGATTCCAAGGCAGACTTGATGTTAAACTGTGAACTTTCATGTGAACTTTCAAATTCCAAAAAATGTCAGTTAAGCCCAACTTCAATTAAATTGGCTTAAGGTAAATATGGAACTTTCCCACAGAGAACCTCATTTATTCATTCAGTTTGTACTGTATGCTTATTACAGATCAATGTTTCTTCCCTGATCTAGAAGAATGAGAAAAAGCCTGAGAAAACACAGTGGAAAGTGTTGAGAAAATAAACTAAGACAGAAATACAGAGAATAAGCAGCACTTAAAAAAAGGAGGGAAGGTGAAAGGAGACGGGAAGAGATATGCAGAGGAACTCACGTAAATAAATAGTCCACCAAAAATAAAACAACAAATATGGATCAAAGGACAAAAAAATAACCAGAAATCTGGGAACTGGATGGAGGTCACTTATCAAGTTAAATTCATAGTTTTCAACATATAAGATTGCCCGCTACTCAATTTTAATAATAACATGAGATAATCCCTTTCAGAAACTGACAAGTTACTTGAAAAGACAAGATATACGGCTCGGCGCC